AAAGATGGTTGAGTGCCCAAGTAAGTCAATATGACAATGACAGTCATTCTTCCATTTTAATTCACACACACCTGTGCCTTATCTATTGTCTTTTATGTTTAATTTTTATTTGTACTCTGAGGAAACTTGGTTGAGTTGGTGTATTGTGCTCTTCTAGTAGAGTTCAGCTCCTCTTGATGCTTGTTCAGTTTTTGAACATGTCACACAGTAGCTTCTCCATGGGCGTGCTGCCTATGGTCATGTGAAAAAACAGCCGCTCTATTTTCTCTGAGCTCACGAAGCGGAGCGATGGCAGCAGAAGCAACATTCTCCCAAACCTTGATGGAAAAAGTGCAAAGTACCATTAACTTTATTTGTCTACATTTCTATTTGCATGACAAAATTTACAGACTCCAGGAGTTCTTATGTTAAAAAATCTTTGTATTCTGTCAGAGAACAGAAATACAGCAGGCTCACCTGGCGCTCTGGCCGGGGTAGATTGAATGGATATGCTGACCCAACAACACCTGCGACTGATCCTGCAGATTCTCCACCTGCTCTGGGTCTTTGAGGCTACGTGTCTCTGCTCCAGGAAGTCAAAAAACCACACATTAGTCACAATGTCCATTAAAGAATGAAAATCCATCACTAGATGAATAACCCCTTACCTGGCTTGAATAGTACAATGGCCTTCAGGCAAGCAAACTCAGTGGGGTCAACAGCCAGAGCCTTAAAGCGATTGAAGACCTCCTCCAGGGTGCTGAGGTCACTGCTGGGGAGGCCGATCCTGGTCTTTTGTGTTGGGGACAGATCAGGAAGAGACAGGAGAGGACAGCTGTCCATGGGTAGAGACCACTGGATGGCACACAGGAAGAACATCTCACTCCAGGCTTCTTCAAGAAGAATCACCTGAGGAGAGTTCACAAAAAAAATCCCTTGTGTGGTAAGTCTTACCCATTCATTCATATGTCATTTGTTTCAGTAAACATGTGGCAGTCAGTCTCACCTGGTCCCGAAATGGCAACTGAGCGAAAACAGGCAAGTTTTTTGCCCACTTGACGGACATGAAGAGGAGTCGTGCCGAAGTCTCATAAACACTCTCTGAACAGCTGGCAGTGTACGGGGACAAGCGGAAGTCAGAGGGAGTCCGATCTCTCTCTGAATCGTTGGTTGTCACATCGATATTCTCCTCCACTGTACATTAGAGAAAGAGAGTCAATTAAACTTAGAGACAATACTTTCTCTTTACATATATAAAAATCCAGTTAAATGTACCAAGAAACAATAGTGTTTTTTAATGACTTCTTCCATGTTTGACTCCATACTATAATCGCTGTACCCGTATGGTCTTACCATCCTCAGGTTCCAGTTTTGCACAGGTCTCAGCAGTCAGTAAGCTGACCATGAAGCGGTGGTTGTTGTTGGGGTTGCCGCAGGGCTGTATGGAGGCAGAGGAGGTGACGGACGAGGTGACCAGAGGTCTGCAGACGGCCGACGAGTAGGCGGCAGAGGAGGTGAGTTCACGTGTGGTGGCCAAGTGCTCCTTTTTATCGTCCACGCTTATGGAGTCAAGACTGACATGTGCTGTGCTTCTGGGCTGTCGCTCATTCTGCACAGCTGCCAAGGCGACAGGTAAATAACATGTTATGATGTACATTACAAATAATAAATCCTGCAAGTCAGCAGTCAAAACTACAGGATTTATACTTTACAGTCAACTTATTTTTCTCACCATCTTTGTTCATGCCAGCTTGGAGACATTTCTTTAGTCGACAAGCTTGGCACTGGTTGCGATGGGCCTTGTCAACATGGCACCTGCCAGTTCCGGCCTGACACCTATGATTTAGACAAAAGTTGTTTTTCTCTTATTTACACAAGTCCCGCTTAGATACAGTTTTATGCAATAAGTCCAGTCTGCATCTCGCTCACCTGTATATGAGTCTACGTCTGACGCTGCGCTTGAAGAAGCCACTGCAGCCGTTGCAGGCGTAGATGCCGTAGTGTTTACCACTGCTGGAATCTGAACACACTTGACAAAGCAGACCTTGGCCGATGGCTTTATCTTGGAATGAACTTTTTTCTGTCAAGAACAAATACAAGCAATCAGTATTTTTATTTTCTTCCTA